GAAAATCTGATGGTTAACCCATCCAGTCGACCCCCTTAATCTATATTAGATTCTAATAATGTTTACAAAGACAGAAATGCCCTTAAGTGTGGGGCAGAGTAACTCTAATAACACTGCCACATAAGCAAGGTACTTAATAAACAGAAGAAGACTAAACTACCCCTATTCGGCACATCTTAACAATCTCATATCCAGCATTTGTTGGTATGGTATCCAGAGGCCTTTTATTGTAGAAGGTAGCAAATAATGATCCATTTTTCTGTTAAGAGTGGTCATGTTATTTCTTTTAATTAATTTTCTTATTCCTTGGAATTTTACCTTTGATAAATTTTGATTGCACTGCTATGATTCATGTTGTTTTCATAAGATGTTATTGTCCTCCCTTTTTCTTTTATTTTATTGTAAAAGTGTATTTTGCCCTTGTGATGTTTATCAACTGTTTCTAGCAGTTCATGGAGGTATTGGTGAGGATGGCACACTTCAATCTATGCTGGAGGCAGAAGGCATACCTTATACAGGTTTTTATAATTATCAAAACATACATGTAGTCAGTGCCTGGATTCTCTGTAGAATGAGATGCTTTCTCCTTGGTGTTTACCTTGTGATTGAATTCAAAAATTAATCCAAAATGGATGCTTTGTTGGAATGTTAAGAAAATCTTCAAATAGGTTGAATGAAGTGATTCAAAGTCACATGGTTTCTTATGATACCTGGATATGTTTACATGCTTAGCATACCCATGTCAAACATGATACAAATCCAATATGTTGCTGGAAACCACATGGTCACTTCTGGAGTATACTTCACACTGTCAACATTATTGCTGATAAAAAAATACTGTTGTTTAGCCTGGAAACATGGTATATATTAACAAATCATACTATAAAATTATATACATTCTAGATTTTGGTTGAATTTGACAACATATAAGTATTGGGAAATGAAACTTAGCTTCGAAAACTAGATATAAATGCAATATATAAGCAATTAAATGTGATATCCATATTCATACCTGTGTGTACATGATCTTAGGAAATGGAGAGCCATATTCTTGTTCCCTGGATCTCTTTTGGTGTCCATATCCATATCCAGGCATCATAATTTCCAAATGCCCCATGAATATACTTTTACCCTGATGTTTTTTTTTTTTTCATTTCTATTTGTGCTTACATGTTGCAGGTCCTGGTGTAATGGCCTCCAGAACTTGTATGGACAAAGTTGCAACTTCTCTTTCTCTTGGACATGTATGGTAATTGAGTAGTATGTGATACAGTATTAAATGATGGATGTGGCTAGTTTTATATTCACCAGATGTTGTTTTCATTTTTCCTTCTTTTTGATGGTTGTTTGTTATATGTTCAATATATGTTTATATATGTTAGAATACTCGAGTCAGGGGTATTTTGGTCATTCTGGTTTATCTGCTTGAGAGTGAAGGGTCTATTGTATTTGAGTTTAAGTTATGTGTCCCATCTACTATGAGGGATAAAATGGTCTTTCTTGTAACTCTATGATTTTGAATAAATACAAGTGGGTCGGCTAGGGGAGTTAGAATTTTTACTCTCTTCTAGTCTGGCCGAACTTTCTTCTTCTTCTTTCTTCTTTCTTTCTCCTTTCTTTCTCCTTTCTTTCTTCTTCTCTACTTCGACCTAGAATCTACTAGGGTTTACTTACATGGTATCAGAGCAGTAAGGTTATATTCTCCTTTCTCTTACTCTCATTCTTTCTTGCTGCTGTTCTCTTTCTGGGTTCGCCGCCAACTCTCACAGTAATCTTCATTTTTCGGCTGACCTGAGTGGAGGTTCGATAAGGGGCTGAAAAGGAGCTGTTGTTTTGTGGGCCTGGAGGTGAGAATGCCTCCGGTTGCTGTCGTGGTGGTCGTTGAAGTGGTATACTAAACCCTCTATTCAGTGTACGAAGAGGGCTGAATGTGGACAGGTATGAACACTGCTGTCGTGTGTTCAAGTAAGGGACTGTGAATGTTTTTTTTTTTTTTTTTGCTTCAAAAGTTGGTTGTTGTGGAGCTTGGTGTGACTGATATGCATATCAGTCGTGTTCCTCTGCATTTTTCCTCATGTGTGCTGAAAGAAGAGTTGTCGACTGCTGAAGTTCACGACAGCAGTGGTGTGGTGGTGATTGTGTCGTGGTGATTGGTGTGTCTATGATTCTAAATACTTAAAAGTGGACTCCTAGACCTTGTGTGTAATCAGTTCTGCAGTATGAAGAACAAGTGTTCGATGTAATGACTGAGTGATTTCAGCCTTAGTGTGTTGATGGTAAATGGTTCTGCAGTGTGCAATCCAGGTGTTTGATGTGATGACTGAGTGATTTCAGCCTTAGTGTGTGGTGTGTAATGTGCATTTGAAGAAGTTGGAGTTGGTGGTGTTATAAGTGAGATAAGTCTTGTGAAAGTGTGTGAGGTTGTGTTGTATATTTGAAGGTGAAATAATTAAGATGGTTTCATTTGAAGACGGAATGACAACAAAACAGGTGTCATGCTTTCTCCAGACTAAGTGTTCAAATGACATCCATCAAGTTGAATGGTGAGAATTATGTACCWTGGGCAAAATCTGTGGAGGTGTTCTTGAAGGCCAAGAGGAAGGTAAAACATGTGAGAGAGGAGAAACCTCTCTCTGATTCCCTTGGGTTCAGTGACTGGGAACAAGAAGATGCACATATAATGACATGGCTCTGGAACAGCATGGAACCAAAGATTAGTGTGAACTTCATGTTCCTAGATACAACTAAGGAAATTTGGGATCATCCTAAGAAGCTGTACTCTGGACAAGACAATACAACTAGGATGTATCAGTTGTACCAAGAGTACTTCAATTTGAAGCAAGGGAGTCAAAGCTTAGAAGAGTACTATGCAAGTTTGAGGAACATCCATAATGAGCTCAATGTGTATCACTCTCTAACATCATATGTTCAAATCCAACAACAGCAATGTGAGCAGCTTGATGTGACAAGATTTCTTGTGGGTTTGAAGGCTGAGTATGAGCCTGTCAAAGCACAAATATTGGGGGGATCTGCTCTCCCCTCACTTGAAGAAGTTTTTGCTCGTCTTAAGAGGACATCCATTGAGTCGGTAGAACATTCTTCTCCCTCTGACAGATCTGGTTTGGTAGTGACTAAAGGGGGTGGTCGTGGGAATAGAAGTGGTGGTGGAAGTAGTGGACTCCCAAGCAACCGTGGTGGTCACATGTTTAGCCGGGCTGGTGTCCGGATTGGAGGCCGGGACTCAGGGGGAGGTCGTGGAAAAGGAAGGAGTAATGCCCAGAGAAAGTGTACACATTGTGGTTTAGAGGGGCACACTGTTAATTTCTGCTATGATTTGTGTGGTCCACCCAACACTTGGGCTAACCATGCTATGACTAAGAGTAGTGGCACAATTACTGAAAGCCAGCAAACTGACCCAATCCCCTCCACATCTGCTTGTGCTTCTGGGAAGGAAATGGTGAGTGTACCGCGTGCAGTATATGAGCAGTTTCTTCAAACATCTCAGCAGAACACCGCTACACTGGCCCATTCAGGTATGGCTTGCTTAGCTTCCAAAGCCTCTCACTGGATCATTGACTCCGGAGCCTTGGACCATATGTCTGGGACTCTTGATGTATTTTCTTCCCTTTCTCGCTCCACATCTCAAACAGTTACACTTGCTAATGGTTCTACATCTCCTATCTATGGTGTTAGTGATGTTGATCTCTCCTTGTCTTTATCATCTGTTTTGTATGTCCTTAAGTTCCCTTTTAACCTTATGTCTATTGGTAGATTAACCAAGTCTCTTAATTGTTTTGTAACCTTCTATCCTTCTTCTTGTGTGTTTTAGGATCTCAAGACGGGGAGGAAGATTGGTGGAGGGCATGAAGCAGGTGGATTGTATTACATTGATGGTGGTGGCCCTCCAGTAGCCTTTCAGTCATCTCTTACTCCTCTTTAATGGCACTGTAGACTTAGTCATCCTTCTCTCAAGACTCTGAAGTTGCTGGTTCCTTCCTTGAGTCATCTTTCATCGTTAGATTGTGAGGCATGTCAATTGGGAAAACATCATAGAGTCTCATTTAGTCCAAGAGTTGATAGTCGTGTCTCAAGTCCTTTTTCTTTAGTTCATTCTGATGTATGGGGTCCAATTAAAGTGGTGTCATGCAATGGGTATAAGTATTTTGTAATCTTTGTTGATGACTTTTCAAGGATGACATGGATTTATCTTATGAAAGACCGTAGTRAATTGTTCTCTATTTTTCAAAAATTTTATGCTGAAATACGCACTCAATTTGGTGTTCATATTAAAATWCTTCRCTCCGRTAATGCCAAAGAATACAACTCCTCACCATTTCAGCAATACCTAGAACATCATGGGATAATTCATCAAACTTCTTGTGCCTACACCCCACAACAGAACGGTGTAGCTGAACGGAAAAATCGACATCTTCTTGAAACTGCTCGATCCTTGATGATCAATATGAATGTCTCAAAGCCTTTTTGGAGTGATGCTGTTCTCACATCCTGTCAATCGGATGCCCATGTCAATCCTTGGAAGTCAATCCCCTTTCTCCGTGTTGTTTCCCACTTTGTCTCCATTTCCTCTCACCCCAAGAGTCTTTGGCTGTGTTTGTTTTGTTCAACACTTGAGGCTTGGGGTAGACAAGCTAGATTGCTCGAGCTACTAAGTGTATATTTCTTGGCTACTCGAGGACTCAGAAAGGGTATAAGTGTTATAACCCTAAATCCCATAAATCGTTTGTGTGCTCTGATGTCACCTTCTTTGAATTAGTTCCGTTCTTCTCAGATGCTGGGGCCTCTTCCTCTCCTTCTGTGGTTCCTCTTCCTGTACYTGTTGTGGACACCCTTCCCGTAGCTCCTATTTCTACTGCAGATGCACATCCTATGCCTGTTACTACTGAGAGGCCGCCAATCACTCAAGTGTATACCCGCAGAAGTGCATCGGACCCTCCTCCACTTCAGCCCCTGTCGACAGATCCTGCTACTGCTCCTTCTCCCTCAGATCTTGATCTTCCTATTGCTCCGCGGAAAGGTAAACGTACTTGTACTTCTCATCCCATTTCACACTATGTTTCTACTTCTCACCTTTCTGCTTCACATTGCAATTTTATATCATTACTCTCATCTGTTTCCATCCCCAAGACTGTCCAGGAAGCTCTTACCTCCCCAGGGTGGCGGCAAGCCATGGAAGAAGAACTCTCTGCTCTACAACATATTCACACGTGGGAACTCAGTAGGATGGTGATCAATCCACTATGAATCCCTACCAATCTCTGATGCCATTTGAAAACATTGGCTGGATTTAAGGAGTGCAAGATTATTAGTTCTTTATCACATTGGGCTGTGGTTCTTTAAATGTTTTTAAGGATTGGGAGGATAATATGAAGCATCAATTAATGTAATCTTCACATTTTTTGTAACTTTTATAGCATTCACTATTGATGATTGGAGGATTTGTCCTCTTTTACTTGTTTTTTTGAAGATAAATAAAAAGAAAACTCACTAAACTGAAAGAAGTACATAAGGTGATGAGAGATCACCAAACAAAGGAAAGATAAACAACAGAATTAAAATGCAACAGAAAAACAAATACATCAGCCCCTCCAAACCAACTCCAAAGATGACCAAGATTCTGCCCTAAATGATTCTCTTGAAGCTCCTGCGAACTCTGGAATAATAAATATCCAGTCCAAAATTCTTCTCCCAATGAGTGAACATAAATCCTTGGAGTTTGTATTCTCTTCAAAAATTCTTCTATTCCTCTCCTTCCAAATTTCCCAGCAGATTGCAAAAGGAACACAGGACTAGATTTAGCTTTCTTGCTTCCTACTAAAACTGGCCAGCAAGCAAAAATGTCCTTCAGGCTTCTAGGATTCCATCTGTCTATGCCAAATAACCTAAAAAAGATGCTCCAAATGCAAAAAGACGAATTACATTTAACTAAAAGATGCAGCACACCAAATTGCATTTTAAGCTCTTTTAGTTGTCTTTCTCACTTGTACGCATATCAGCAAAAATTTGAATATTGATAATGAAAGAATAAGAAAAGAAGGTATTTTTTGGGTTTCCTTTAAATACCAAAAAGGTAAGCTACAGCTTTCTGACGGTTCAACTTCCACTATGTTGTGAAGTTACCTCCGGCCTTGGTGGAATCTACATCTTCAATGGTTCCATTGGAAGATCCTTGTGTGCTTCCATCCCAAGGAAATCCTTCTGTTTTTAGTTGGTCCAGGAATTCTAT